GGACCCGCAGGTCATTTTGGGAACATCTGGGGTAATTTTGGGAACATTTGGGGTCATTTTGGGAACATTTGGGGTCATTTTGGGAACATTTGGGGTCATTTTGGGAACATCTGGGGTCATTTTGGGAATATTTTGGGTGCCCCACGCCCTGGGCCAGCCGGTTCCCCCAGCTGGGGGAGCCAGGGGCAGGCTCAGCCAAGGTCAGGCAGTGACTCAAAGGGAACCACAGCCCTCCCTCGTGTGTGTCACGGCACTCACAGCCCCGCATCCTCACCGGGGGATGCCCGTGGGGCTTTGACCTTGCTGGTTTGTTCCAGGACATCGGTGCAAGCCTGAATTCAATCCCCTCATCCCCGAGCCGTTCTCCCTGCTGGGCATCGCCCCGGCCCTTCCCCGTTCTCACCTATTTGCTAATTGTGCTGGCGGGGAAGGCGAGGGGGAGGAAATACAAAAAGTAAACTGCGAAAGCAACACTGCAGCTCCGAGGGCCCAGCACGGCAATCAAGCGATAAAGCAGTAATTAAGCCTGATTATCATGCAAGGCAGCCCCGGTTAGACTGGAATGCCGCTGAAGAGCCTGAAAGCTGCCGGGATTGTTTGCAGGGCTCAGAACTGATCTTTTGATGTCTGCTGGGAGCTCCTGTCCCCCAGACCTGCCACCCCAGGGTCCCGTTTCTCCCCCAGCATGGCTCTGGTTGGGTTTTTTCTCCTTGCAAGGGCTGTGGAGTCTCCCTCGGGATGCAAACTGCTCCCCGAGGGCTCAGGGCAGGAATTGGGGATGCTCCAGGATGGACGGGGCAGCTCTGGGCAGGGCAGGACCCGCAGGACATCCCCCATGTTTAGGGATGTCACTGCTGTCCTGCACCCACCATCCTCATCCTCATCCTCGGCGGGTTTCACCCCAGGGGAACAGGGATGGGGAGAGAAGAGATGCCCAGGGATGAGGGCGAAGTGGGTGAGAGCAGCAGGATGGGGTTTGTTTTGTTTTAGTTTGAATTTCTGACACATCCCCATGGCCTCACCCGGGCTGGCAGGGAAAGGTGAGTGTCTGGAATGGGCTGGGGGGATAAAGGTGAATCCCAGCCCTGCTTTTGGGGTCATTTTGGGAACAGGAATGCTCAGGCTGGGTGAATCTGGAGAGAGATGGACATGGCTGGGAAATGTGGCTGCCTCCCAGCTGCACGTGGCCAGGACGGGGAGCAGGAGGGGGTTCCCAAATCCAAGGGGATCCAGTCCTGAGCTCCTCTCTCCCAGGAGGGGTTCCCTTGATCCAAGGGGACCCAACCCCTCTGCTGGGAGGGGTTCCCCAATCCAAAGGGACCTAAGCCTGAGCTCACCTGTGCCAGGAGGGGTTTCCCAGTTCATGGAGACCCAACCCTGAGCTCCCCTCACCTGCCAGGAGGGGTTTCCTTGATCCAAGAGGACCCAAACCTGAGCCCCCTTCTGCCAGGAGGGATTTCCTGATCCAAGGGCACCCAATCCTGAGCTCTCCTCTGCCAGGAGGGGTTCCCTGCTCCAAAGGCACCCAACCCTGAGCTCCCCTATGCTGGCAGGAGTTTCCCCATCCAAAGGGACTCAACCCTGAGCTCTCCTCTTTGCCAGGAGGGATTTCCTCCATTCAAAGGGGCCCAACCCTGAGCTCCTTTCTGCCAGGAGGAGTTTCCCTGCTCCAAGAGGACCCAAACCTGAGCTCTCCTCTTCCAGGAGGGGCTCTCCCCATCCAAGGGGTTCCCTCCATCCAAGGGACCCAACTCTGAGCTCTTCTCTGCCAGGAGGGATTTCCCCATCCAAAGGGACCCAAGCCTGAGCTCCCCTGGCTGGCCAGGAAGGGTTTCCTTGACCCAAGGGCACCCAACCTTGAGCTCCCCTCTGCCAGGAAGGTTTTCCCTGCTCCAAGAGCTCCCCTCACCTGCCAGGAGGGATTTCCCTGACCCAAAGGGACCCAACCCTTCGCTCCCCTCGGCCAGGAGGGGTTTCCCTGCTCCAAGAGGACCCAAACATGCACTCTCTTCGGCCAGGAGGGGTTTCCCCGACCCAAGGGGACCCAGCCCTGCTGCCAGCAGGAGGAGCCGGCGCTGACTCAGTGCAGCAGCTGGGCAGGTTCACGCACGAGGATGATTTTGGCCCCAGCTCACGGCGCTTGCAAGGCACGCTGCTGCTCCCTGCGACGCTAATGAGCAGGTTTGGGCAGAGCTGCTTCTGAGGAGTCAGGGACAGGCAGCCCCCGGGAAAGCCCGGCGAGCTCTGTTTGTCAACAGGTCCCCTTCGGTGCCTTTCATCATCCTGGCAAGGAATTTGATAATGAGTTCGGGGCCAAATGCTAAGTCACCTCATCCCACGGCTGAGCAGCGACTGGCAGAACCAGTTGTCCCAAATGTGCCCAGGCGTCAGGGCTGGGAATAAGGTGCTGCCTGCCCCTCTGCCCCACTCTCAGCTTGCATCACCTCGAATTGCAACAACAATATATTAATTTTTTTTAAACAATTATATATTTTATACAAAGAGGAATGGAGGCGCTGCGTCAGATTTTCCACACTTTTCCCTAAATAAAAAAATGTCACTTTCTGGGTAAAACGGAAGGTAGATTTTCCAGTTTTTTGTTGGCTCAGCCCCAGAAAGAGGATGTGTCACATTCTGGGTAAATCTAAAAGCAGCAGCTGTGGTGGCGAGTCCTTCCCGGCCACTGCAAGGGCTGGGCCACAGCTCCAAACCCCAGTTTAGGGGCTGCATCTTGGTTGTATTTAATCCTTTTTTTTAACACTAAAGGGGATAGGATCTCACCAGCATTTCCAGTAAACCCCATTCGATTTCAAGCAATTCATCCCACAAGTATGTGCGGGATGCCAGGAACTCTTCGGTCTTGCTTAGGAGCAGGAGCCCAGATGGGCTTTGTCTGGAATAATTCAGCTCCCAGTGGCTGGAGCTCTTTGCTCCAAATGCTAATAGAGTGAGTAATCAGAGATCTCCATCCAGTAAATTATTTATCTTATCTCTGGAACTCGGGGAGGCATCTCAGCCAGCGACTTCTGCGGAAAAAAGAAGACGGGG